TTAAAAACAGCAATACAAAGTCATGATGAAATAAATAGACCTAAATAAATATTTCAGAAATTTTAAATATACACATGTATTCTGTTACTAGTAAGGTTTTATATAGATTCGTTTCTCACCCTATTTTATGTGCAATTTTTTTTATTCTTTCAACATAAAATACAATTCACATACTTAAATCTTTAAAAAAATAAGCACTGGTTAAAGCTATACAGCATATGTATGGATTGTTTTGGAAAACAAAATTATGCAGTGTTTGCATGTGATTCTGGCCTGTAACAGAAAGTTTGGTATGTGGTTGGCATGTTAATGAATGAGTAATTTAATGTTTATTAAAGAGCAGAAACATTCCATAAAGATTCTCTCAATTAAAAGACAGGGCTAAATTCAGCCTGGACTTCTGCCAGCAGAATGTCAGGTACACGTTCCCTCTCCTTTCAAAGGGATATTTGCAGCCAAAAACGTAGGGTGCTGCACTGATTCAGAGCATCCCCTCAACAGCCTCTATCTGTAAGGTTCCGGCAGTGCATTCAATGAAATCTAGAGATCAGGGTGACAGTGTAAGTATTATTTTCCTGCCTCATTGTGAATACTCTCCTGGGTACAAAGATACAGGCTTCACACATCTCTGTACAAAGTTTGGTGAATCTAGCATATGTGGTCATTTGTGTCTCATGCTTATGAGACTGCCATATGTGCAGACTAGATTGATCTGATGGTCCCTTCTGGCCTTAAACATTGTGATTCTATGAGGATGGTGTTACAGAAAGTCGTAGTTTATAAATTTCAGAAAAGACTTTAAAAGAAGAACCTGAGAGATCTTCCCATGGGAAAATATGCCTAAAAGTGCACTTTGCAACTTTATACCAGGCTAGACACACACCAGCAGAGGTAGGCACGGACACTTCATACTGGGCAAGCTTTAAGAACAAGCCCTCTTTTGGAAAAAACTTTCATTAAAAAGCTGCATAGGGAAGTTATCTTGATGATTATTTTTTGAAAAATTTGGAATTAATTTCTTTGCTCCATTGTATAAGAAAGCAACATAATTTGCTAAACAAGTGTGATTAATGACACTTCCTATAAATCTTTGTAATGTGTTCCTAAAAATGTAAAAGGAAAATTGTACTGAATACAGTGCTAACACAGCACATAAGGAGGTTTGCTAAGTGAGGTGCCAGTGTTCCCACACATGGGGTGTTTGTGATCCATAGCACCCAATGCAAGTCACAAGAATGCGAGCAGACCCTCAACCTTCTGTTCACCCCAGATATACGCAGAAGAAGGAAAAAGAGCAGGTGTCCCCCAGGATTTAGGGAGTGATCCTACAGCAATTGACACTTACATAATGTTCACTCTGGAGACAAGTCAAAATTACTGGGGAGGAAAAGACAAACAACCGAAAGAAGCCAGAGATCATAATAAATTATAGCTAGCAATCCAGGCAATAGTAATTATTTAACCCTGGAAGCCAGAAACATTTAGCCAAAATGATCCAGGTATATATCTGGCAATAATAATTTAAAGGGACACTGTCAATTGGTTCAGAGCCAAAAACATACATATGGGAAGGCAAATGCCAGAGAGCACCCTTGTGGTCGTTGTAACTTGTATAACAATTCCTTTTAACCAAACTCCATTGAACAAAAGTTCCCCTGGGATTTTTTTAAATTGGTCTTCCTGACCTTCATTTCTTCACTGCATTTCAGGGTGGGGGACCCAGAACAAAGCTGCCTCCAGATTAGTTGACTGGCATTTCCTTTTCCCCCATATCTCAGGCTGCTCAGCAGTTGATTACACTTTGAGATCTAGGACCCACACTGACGGGTTTTTTAATCTGAAGGTTTTCATCAACCCATTCCCCTGAAACTTTTATTTCAGCCACCTTCATTTCTTCACTGCATTTCAGGGTGGGGGACCCAGAACAAAGCTGCCTCCAGATTAGTTGACTGGCATTTCCTTTTCCCCCATATCTCAGGCTGCTCAGCAGTTGATTACACTTTGAGATCTAGGACCCACACTGACGGGTTTTTTAATCTGAAGGTTTTCATCAACCCATTCCCCTGAAACTTTTATTTCAGCCCAACTCCTCCCATTTTTCTTAGGCTGGTACAGCGTGGTTTCCTTATTGTATTTTCATTTCTCTTTAACCACTTTGTTTTTCCCTCCCCTTTTTTCTGTCCCCACCCCCTTTTTTTCCTGTCCTTTGCTGTCCTGTTTATTTTTCCCCTTCCCTTTCCTCCTTATATTGCCACTCATTTAGCAAAACTACCCATCGGACCTAATTAACTAACCCACTAGCAGTTGTGTGAAAGAGTCACCTACCTTGTGTACCCATGTTTGTTCACTCAGTCCTCCCCCATCGTGATTAAATGATCACTGATGGAGAGTGCTGCCACGTGTTTAAGAAAAGTGCCCTCTGAACAGCTTTTAGCTTCTTTCTCTGACCATGTATTTCATGCAGAACACAGGGGAGAATCAAATCAGATGATCCAAACAGGGCTGTATAATCTCATTCCAGTTAAGAGTGGAGGGATCCCTTGAATTCTGAGCAAATGAACAGAGGACAGAGGTCTGACAAAAATAGGGGAAAATATTGGAACTTCCAATGCTATAAACACTGGTTTTTCAGTGGCATGCAGGCACTTGTACCTTCTATCCCAGGCACTTGTACCTCTAAGTCCCAGTTTCATCTTCTCAGGGGGTCCCAGATCTCCAACATATTCAGCATCCATGCATGCTTACAGTCCTCTCACTGCTGAAGACTGTTCCATTTACAGCTGTAATCTACCTGCTCATTGTTTGTTCTTAGTTCTGTGAAGTGATTAGGCTTCTGACTTATGTTAATTTTTCATTCAGTACATTCAACTGGACTGTACCATTCTTAAGCTGGCTGGCAATTGTTGCCCTCTGTGTGTTCACAGTCATCCTGTATTTCATTCCACTGAGATACATTGTCCTTGTCTGGGGTAAGTAAAGCCTTTTTTTAACTGTCTGTGCCACTTAGAACAAACTGTTTTTTAAGGGATGAGTTATACTGTCAGTAGTTTTCAGTATTTATGGTCACAAAGCTATTCCATGATGGAAACAGACAGGTTAGTTAAACATCACAACTGTGTAAAGATTTAGGCCCACCTGCAAAGTGCATTTTTCTTGTCTGGCATTCTAGGCTTCAGCATACTATAAACATGCAGCCATGAGGATTCTTCATATATCAAAGTGTAGCTTTGTCTAGATATTACTCTGATTTATTTTCACCACTTATACACAAACAGGGGCATTTCAATCTATATAGTGCATTTAGGACAATATGTTTTTGCTGCAGCACTTTATCTTGTGAAAGTGTATGTAAAGCTTAGACACCTGCTTAAAGGGTCACCTTTAGGATAACAAAAACATATATGCTATTTTACTGGTGGATACTGAACAAAAGGGAGTTGGAGTTTGGGGGATTTTTCTGAGACACTTTAACCTCTCACTTAGGCTTTCTTTGCACTTATTTAGAAAAGCTACCTATAATATATCAGTTACAGAGATTGCTCAATGTTTTAATACATTTTTAACACAAACCCATCCCTGTTGCAGCTGTACCTGCATTCTATAAGTACACACCTTGTACAGAGAAAATAGTCTCAATTAAGTCTATGGGAGTGTGTCTTGTAGAATTCATTGTTCAGACTCAATGGCAACACACAAAATCACAGAAATGACTTCAAATAGTTTATTATATTTTCTAAATCAAGACTAGAAAATTTGAAGCAAATTGGGTGAAGGTGGAATATTTGTAGTCTTTACTAAAAGACCCAACACCAAACGTGATTATACAGTTCAGAAAGCTTGTAGTTGATGAGCTATGAACACAGAAGAAATAGGGAGCAGTTAAGAAAAATCTAGAAAAAATGAAAGCATCAGGAATGAGGAGTTTCTTGTTCAAGGATTTCATCTGATTTCACACTTCTACAGCTAACACTGCCTTGGCATGGGGTAGTCTTTTAGTTTTTTACAAAATTCCATTTTTCTCTCACATAGACTTTTGACTGAAGTTTAAACTTTTGGCTTAAGTCCAGTAAACTGCTCTTGAAATGGAACTCTGCAAAAAACACACACTCATTTTCACTTTATTTGGTGTATATTCAACTTATCTTCCCATTCATTTTTTTTCTGCATTTAAAGATAAATACTTCTTTTTATTTCATTTTTTAGTGAAAGATAGTTGGTCACCTCTAGGAAAGTAATTTGAGTTGCTTTGCAAATTCATGTGGCCATGCTGCTGTTTGTTTAATGAGGCAACTCTTCACCTAAGAAATGTCCTCCATGCAATGTCAGATAGCATCTGCATCACTAAATCTTTCTCTTTTTGCACCCATAGACTTTTTTCTCTGAAACCTCTGTTCCAAAGGATTCTTTGCTTTTTCCTCTACATAAACTTAGAATTCTTAAACATGTCCAGTGTCTCTTATGGTCCACTTGCAATCTAATTCTGTTCAAAATTGTGTAGCACCACTATGGCTAATACAGATGCCTAAATGGAAGAGTAATGTTAGGAAATTATTGGTGTATTTTTAGCTTTTATCAAAATGCTTCATCTTAAGCATTTTGAAAAGGCTTAATCACACCATTTCCTCTTACTCTCCGCTTCCTCCCACCCATTCTGCATTTCTGCTGTTCTGTTCCCCACCCCACCCTGTGTCAGTCCTCTGCTTCACCCACTCCTTTTTTTCCACATGGTTCCTGGTTACCTTCTTGAATGCTTCAGTCCCAATGGTAGCTCTTGTCCAGCTGCAGCCTCCAGTCATGGAGAGTGACTCTTGCCTCTTACTCCTCTTATGAGGTAAAATTAAGAGGAGGATCCTAGGGTTGTACATCCTTATTTATAGCTATTTTCACAGATGTCCAGACTCTTCTGGTGCTACCAAGAAGCAACTGGTCCTATATGGTCTGTGAGCTGTTGATGGAATTACAAATAGGTAGTCCACTGCCCACAGTTTTAGAATATCTTGGTTAGACACTTGATTTCTCAGTGCCTCCATGCTGGATTGGGTCTTCAGTTGGATGTGATTGAGTATTAAAATTCTCTATTCACTAATTTTAATAAGAGATAGAATTTCAAATCTTACACCAGTTACCAAATTTACTTCCATAGATTGCAAATTTCTTCTCTCTTCATGCCTTGCACTTCTGGGCAATTGTGTAGGATTGTCGATTCGCTCTGTGGAGGGCCAGCAGTGTTTCCACTGCTGTTCTGCTATGCACATTCTGTTAAAGGCATGAAATTTTATAACCTGGCCAAATTTCCATAGATGATCTACCAGCAAAAGCTGAAAAATTGAATCAGTTTATATCCCAGCTAGCTAACCCCAAACCAGAGCAGGCCATGTTCATGTCCCAGCTTACTGAGGTAATGTGATCTGGGAGACTAATGCCACTGTGGGCTCTGCTTTGACATATTTTGTTTGTACATACTTTGGGTATGAATGTTTTAGGCCCGGTATCTAATGATGCAATAGCAACTGTAATTTGGAAATGCTGTTTTAGCTTAGTTTTTCTAAGCTGTGTGTGGTGCCTTTGAACTCTGGTTGTTGATTTGAGGAAACTAGTGCATCTTTTATTTTGTGCAAAAATAAACTATCAAACCTTGCATTCTAAAAGTATTCCAAAGTTAAAATATATATTAACATCCCTCAAAGAAAACTGCAAAAGGAGCTTGAATATGGCCCAGGGGTTCTGAAGCAGAGAAGTAAAGATTACTACCTTGATTTACTGTAAAGTAAAGCAGAAAACTTAACAATTGCCTCTAGAGCTGATAGACAGTGAATTTTCATTTTGTAGTAATGAGAGTGTTCAGAAAATTTGTCCCAATTGGTGCAGAGACACTAAATTTTCTGTGGAACTCAGCTCCTGCAGTACTTAATTTTAGAAATACCAAAATATATTTCTAGAGTGAAATATGCTCCTCATGATCTGGAGTGGCTGCTGGGTCAAATCTAGCATACAGTTTTGTAACCAGAAGCAGTAGAGTTTCTGGGGCTTCTAGGATCCTCAGATCCATGACTCTCCCTAAATATTCAGAGTTGAGGCTGCCTTAGAGCTAGGGAGCCTGCTAGCCCCAGCAACACGTTGCGTATTTTAGAAACTTCATCTTTTAGTGTTCTTGAATGAAATATTGTGGAATGTCATCCCCAGCTATCTAGGCAGCTTGCTCCCCTGCCTCCAGAACTTGGGCAGCCAGCCGCTCTGGGTCCGGTATCATTGCAGAACTTCCCTGGAGCTGTCAACCCCAGAAGCTCTGGGGTTCCATCTCTGAGGAAGTTCTTCAGACCACCTGCCAGAGAGCTGGGCAGGCAAGCTAGCAAGAAACCAAGCAGGTTTTGACTGAAATGTGCCTGGCAAACAGGTTTTGAAACATGACTAGCAAGGTAGTGTTGTCATAATATATACATGTTACTACAAAATGTTTTGTTTTTGACAAAATTGGAATTTTTTCATAGAAAAATATTCCATCTCAAAAATTCCAATCAATTCTAGGTGTTACTGCCAAGATTAAAATTCAAGGAGGGAGTTACTGAGGAAAAATACTTCAAGAGCACATTTAAAGACTGATACAATCTCCATACTACAAAGTTTGGTCAATGCAAGTTGTACTGGGAAACAGTAGCTGATATTTGTATATTGCTTAGGCAGGTTTGTGCTTCTGTTGGTTCTACACCTATCCACCGTGAGAAATGTGGCTCACCATAGATGGTTACCTTTTGCTGCTGCCCAGCCCAAATGCCCTTTGGGACACTTTTGCAGTACAGGCAGTCCCCGAGTTATGTACAAGATAGGGACTGTAGGTTTGTTCTTAAGTTGAATTTGTATGTAAGTCGGAACTGGTACATATTGTAGGGGAAACTCTAGCCAAACATTTCTCCAGAGCTCAGTTTTATTCTCCCACACCTCACTTCCCTCAGTCCTTTATTCTCAAGTTGAGGTGTCTGCTGAGAAAAGCCGCTCCGCGTCTCCCTGGTCTGCTGGGGGGAAGCAGCTAGTGCGGGGTTGCCTCACCCCGTTTGTAAGTAGGGATCCGATGTAAGTCGGATCCATGTAACCTGGGGACTGCCTGTACTTTGTGGGATGCCAGTGATTTGCTTAGGTATTTCTGGCAGTGATTAGGCAAATTACCATCTTGCATCTTGCTCCATCCTGAAGCACTTTCCACATCCTATAATTTTCACACCATTTAAAAAAAATTCCTACAGCCCTGTCTGCTGCATTTTAGTCTCTGCCATCTCTCTGGTAGAAACATGGATCCTTCACCACTCAGCATCATTCTCATGAGTGTTGCTACTACAGGATGCATGATTCTCCTGTGCTTCCAGAACTTGAATCAGTACAACCACATCCAAGATTGTGATGAGGAAGATGCAGGGATGTTCAAGCACAACAACCAGATGTTGATGGGGACAATGCAAAAAAAGTCAGGTGCTGCTGGTGTTTATGGAGATGCTCCATGTGCTGGATCACCTATTTAAGGACCTTAGAAATGAGGGCCCAATAATTGGATCGCATTGTAATGCGGGTTTAGGATGTTTAGCAGTGGTAGGTTTAGCAGTGGCTTCAGAACTGTTGGATATGACAAGCTACACTCCAATATCAGTCTCTACAGTGACACCAAAATGAAAGCTATATTGGCAGTGGACAAGCAAGTGTATCGGGATTTAGACGAGGCTGCCATTTGAAATATTATGGGATGTAGGGAGTTGTGACTATAGTATTCTGCCATGGTTGGAAAGGCTGCTGCATCCAGGATTTTTGGGCACGTGGGTCAATATTTCTCTACCACGTCTGAGTTTATAGCCTTAGCAAACTTGTATCTTGGTGAGCTTCTTCCTCCCCTGCTCTCTCTTCCAATCTTCTCTTTCTCCTGGTCAAGGTCATACATTCAAGGCCAGCACCCCAGAGGCTACTGATTAAAACAGACAGATACAGC